GATAACTTACGATTCAAAAGTAACGGAGGCACCAAAATCTCGACAATCAGCCAGTCTTGACAAACGAGGAAGAACTTAAGAGAAAGATATTGCAACTGAGCTTTTAGATGAGAAAAGAAACCATTTTTGTTAAATACTTTAACGAAGGCAATAAGCTTGAACATCCTTTGAAGATAATTATCAAATTATTTACAACATCAAACATTATTAATATTATAACGAGCATAATAATAATACTATCAATTATAATAAAAATTTAACTATCTTCTAAAGACAGAGATAGAGAGAAATACGTATATATGAATAACAAGTGATCGCTAGTAATGAACAACATGGTTGTTCCGGAAGATCACACTAATAGCAAGTGATCAAATAATGTATTCTCAATCAAGAACAAATTGCGGGTGACCTCTAAATATTTTTAAAGATTGGGATGCATAACGCAGTAAAATTTTGAGGTAAAAAGAAGTATATTTGTCGATTAATATGAAACGAACAAGGATAAAACACTGAAGGACGAATCAGCAATTGCTACATATTTATTCGTAAAACGAGGTCTCCTGACACTTTCGAGAAAGTTGTTAACAAGATATATGCGTATTTCCTTCGATATAAAATAAGTGTTGTAAAACGATATATTTTTGCGATTGGTAAAATGAATGAATTAGCGAAGTAAGATTAGTAAGGAGTAAGACTATAATAGGTAAAGTTACTCTGATAGCTAAAATATCAATGATAAGATAAATGCTTTTTATCTATGAACTGTAGCTAGGGGTGTGATGAGACCTAAAGACACAAATGCAGTTAAAGTCGTAAATAAAAATGATTGTAGAAGAGATGCAATGATATTCGTGAATTATATAATAACAAATATATTGTTTTAGAAACGCTACCTAAATTTCATAAATAACACACCAATAAAAGTACATAACACGTCATAAAAATAATAGGTATTTCAAATTTCAGGAATAAACAATTACTAAGTAGGATATTAATAAATAAGCTAAAAGCAAAAACTCACTTATTTCTAACTCCTGTCGAACAAATAGTAGATCTTCAAGAAGACGATCGAAACTGGCAGAAAACAAGTGGATGGAAGTAATGAAAACAAAAGGTAGAGTAGCAAACACATTCTAAACGCAAAAGCCAATATTTAATATCTACTAAACGACTAAAAGAGAGTAAAAAGTAAGGTTGCATTGTGGATCGCCAACACTAGCAAAAATCGTATCGAATTTGTCGTTAAATAGTAGGCTTCGCATAGCCGAAATGAAAAATTGTGAATAAACAGCAGCTAGAGAGAAAAATAGCTTATTTATCGTAAATAGTCACTGGCAAAATTGTAATTACGCCAAGCAAGCATAATTTTACAAGTAAAACCAAATCAGGACCAAAAAGTAAGCCCTTCGTATATGCAAGAAAAGTTGGGTTTATAGGACTGTCTTGTTTCATAATTATATTACTTACTTACATTTCGAGTGAAGTAACTGATGAAGAGAATCGGAGGTCGATTTTACCAGAAGACGACGGTGGAATCCTCTTGACCAGCTGTCGATTGGCTTTACTGGAAAATTCATGTTAACGCCGTTTCCGAGGTAATCACCTTCGATTCCGGTGAAAACGTGTTAAGCTTTCGTCCGTCATATGACGATCATTATCTGAGCAAGGCATAATCCTTATAACAAAATTCAAGCTAACGAGTCAAGAAAACTCACCGGCACATCTCTAAAAAGCTGTATATAAACTTTATATCTGGCCTCTTAGATAAGGTATAAAGTGATTTGGTTAGTTACAGTCATATGTCAACCTCGAAGCAGGAGTGTCTGTTTGTGTATATGCATATGCCCGTGTGCGTTCGCCTATGTACGAAACCAGAATAGATGGCTCAAAGTAATTAGGACAGTAAGGTTAACGTCTGTTTTCGGACATCAAGGTTTGATGACCACTTTCTCCCATTTTCTACATATATTTTATAACTATCACTCCGATTGCGCAAGGTCTGACACGCGTCTGTATATTTTGAAAAGCTTTTTTTTGACTTCATTTGAGATAGAAAGTAGGCTAAAAAACACAGAAAAGTGACCATAATTAGAACCAAAACAAGAAAAGACTAGTTAAGTCGCCTCATTTTTGCAGGCGGCTCAACACCATCCTTATTCTTGAGTCTATTAAGTAAACAAGTAATTTTTATAAGTTGTTTGACCTTGTTTTCGCAACTTGGTCACATTGGTAGGAAGACTTGGAGGAACGCACCTTTTCCGGAGTCCATTGCATGCATAATCATTTCCAGTCGGACCGTGGACGTGGTACATTCCCAGACGTTTCGCCGTCATCGTATTCGGCATCGTCAGTGAGTTTTACCATTCGTAACACCATATTACAACTCGTCAGAGACAAGTGAAACCGATCCTTTGACCAAACGTGTGCTAAACAGTTATAGTATCTCCCCTTCTGCTCTGGCCTATTCACATTTCCTATATCTTCCTATCGCGTCTTCACTGTCACAATTTTTTACTTGCTTAATTAAATGTAGTACGGTGTGTTCTTTTGAGCGGCTTTCATGAAAACCCTCCGCACTCTACGCTGGCCTTCTCATCCTTGTGCTGGGAATATTGATCAGTCTGACATATTGTTACGCAGTCCTTCTTCCTTAGGTCCTACCCCAATCTCTCTCTTGCCTCGTAAGATACTTCTGCCCTCTCCCTGGTTCACATATTTCGCTTGTCCATTGCCACCCCATCTGTGCCACCCCCCTGCGTCTAGGTGATAATTCGAGGCTAAAGCCACCAATCAAAAAGCTATCCTCTATTAATCTAATGGTATTTCCAATCAAACTTAGGGGATAATTATTCTAAATAAATATTGTTTTAAGCCTATCCTGTTCATTATTACAATGGTTTATATCGACTTGTCTTATACTCCGAATAATAATGGATTTTTGAACTACAACCTTTGCTTTGTAACTGTGATTGGAGAAGAAAATAAGGATAAAGCCTCATGCTTAACTTCTCACCTGCACTGATCACTAAAACATCTGAAAGGAGTAAATCATTGTCCTTCTCCATCTCCATTGTCAACCTAACACTGAAATTTATCTGGTTAATTAAGAACAAGAAATTATCCTAACTATCCTTACTGTGCTGCCATACGGTAGTAGTCATCTATATATATAACTAAAAGTTTTGGTGTCAAACGTACATCTTTCATGAAGTATTCCTACCCTCTTGACATTTAATTGTTAGCTAAAATGGAAGCCAAGCAGGATCCCATTGCTAGGCCTTGCCCTTGTTAATAAACCTTATTATTAAAGATGAAGTATGTGTTACTCATTGATAGATTAAGCAGCCTAAAGATTGAGGTTTTGCTCAGATTTGTTTCATCAATAATTTCTGGGCGCTCATCTAGAGTGAGTGCTAATACACTCATTGATACCAAATCGAAACTAACCAACAAATCCTCCTCTTTAATACTTCGTTGATTTATTAATCTAACAAATTCATATGAATTCTTTACTTATTATTTTTAATGCCCGGCCACTCTCCTTAATTATCTGCATAAGAAAAGTGAAATCATATGCATCACACTTCCCTTGTTATTTACAATCAATCTTAAAGGGACTTCCTCCTTGTTTGTTTTTGGAAGGTCGTAAGCCGAAAGTGCTCTAGAATCCTGTTTAGGAAGTTAATTCATCTTCCACTTCTCGATTTCTCCTTTCCTTATACAAATACTAAACGATTCCCTAAGTCTGACCTTAAGACTCGCTGTGTGACTCTTCACTAAGAGTATGTATGTTTCCGAGCCAGTTATATGAACCATCATTTTTTCTATATAACTTAACCTATCCATTATGACCACTGCACCACCTTTAGTGCAAATATATAGAAATCTTATTCAAGTCATAAGATTTCTTAGAAATAATTACCTGATCAAGATGAGGGATCACTTCTCCTTCCATACTATTCTTAGCCTCTTCTGGCAGCTTGTATGTTAAGTTGATTAACTCAACCAGTATCTCCATAGGATTATTTGGAAAGGAAAAGATTAGAATCCTTTCCAACAGCCGCGTAACATTAGCATCTATAGGTAAACTAGATAGATTGATCACTTTGTTTTTGCTAAGGCAATTGTCACTAAATGTAACTACTTCTTTATTGTTTCGACGATTCCTTAAGCTGATGTTAATGCCTAAATTCTGTAACTGCTTATCATATATGGATCTATGGATTTTATCCATCCTGTCCGCAAAAATATCTGCCATATTCTGTAATTTGAGAGTATTCTTAATAAAACTGCAGAGAAAGCGAATGTCTAGTCCTTGTTTTGGTTGTAATCAGGTCATGTAATTTGTCTAAAATTCCTTTTAGTCGAGGCTTAGCCAAGCCAATTCATACCTGCTCCAGTTCCTATTAGTGGAAATAGGTAAATCTGGATGCCTACCAAGAAAATAGCATCTAGGTGCTATATTATGTGAATAGAGATTTCTAAAAAATCTAATGATATTGACTCATCAAAGAGCTTAGATACAGAGTATATATTCTACTTTTTAGGAATCTGTCGATGAGTTTTCCTGGCTCGTTAGCTTGACTTTGCATGTAAGGATGAGGATGTTCGTAATATGAAAGACAAAAGGATAGTACATTTCCACCAGAATAGAAGGAGATTACATCGGAAACAGGGTCAATATGAATGTTCCAGTAAAGCCAACCGATAGATGGTCAAGAGTAATCCACTGTCGTCATCTGGTTGAATCGATTTTCGAATCTCTTCACCAAACACTTCACTCGAAATGGAAGCAAGCTCAACAGCTAGGCCATTGGGTTAGTATAATACCACCTAAGAGATGATGTTAGAGAGATATGGAAGCCTCGTTGGCTTCAAATAGGTATTTTTCAGTATAATAAAAAATTAGAATAATAGATTTTGTAAATACCCCTCAATCTTGCTATTTAGTGGAAATAATAGTAGCTCAAACATAAATATTAGCCTAAGCTGAGTAGCACCTACTGCTCAGGGACAATCAGCACAAGCCAATGCATCAACTCAACTCGAGCCAGCATGAATATGTCAGCTTGGCGAAGGCGATCCGCAAATGCGGTGAACTGTAGAACTTGAAGATGGGCATGTCGATTATAGGCCGAGGCTAAACAATCCTCGGCTTCACGGACTCTTGTATGGTGGTGACCACGTGCGCGCTGAATGAACATAAAGAGTGGATTGCTGGAGGCTAAATCCTGAGAGTTGAATAGAGTAATCAGGGGGCGATCCGACTCAATGACAGGAGAGGTCTCCGTAGCTGAAACCTCATGCTCACATCCAGACTTGCAAATAGATTTATGCTTGCGGCTTACCTCCAGTGATAGAGTAGAGGGATCTATCTGTTAGAGTAAAATAAGGACAGAAAGAAGAGGTAATTAAAAATTAATCCAATAAAAGTAAAAACGAATTGTTAAGAGACCGTCAAATGTTTAGACAATTCAGTATTATTTAAAAAGAGAATCAGCCTAAAAAAACCTATCACGAAATTTGCTGACCCTAAGTCGCATTGGGTGATGAAGGTTGGACTACAATAGTAAAAGTAGGTCTAACGATCCAATTGAAGTTCTCTAAGCCTTATCTCAAAAAGGTATTTTAATCCACTGCAGGTTGCAGTTTCGACCTCGCCAGGATCTCATCAGCACTTTGAACTGGAATCGAACATAGGTAGCGTAGCGATTGTTTTCGCCATGGTAGCACTACGCCACTACCACGGGTAGTAGTAGATAACAGGGCAGGCATAGGTTTTAAGGCTATGCAAACTTCTACCATATAACAATAACAATAAATCGAAA